GCAATTCAGCCAGACTTCCCCTAAACTTTTTACTCCCACACCGCGGCGTGATCTGAGTCGCTAGGCACAGAAGTTGCTTGGCCTTTTCTCTGTTTGTTTCGTCCCTTTTTTTTTTTTTTAATGTATTTATTTTTTTTCCCCGGCCCTTCCGCTTATCCCTTTGTGTGTTGAAGGGATGGAGATGGGACGGACTTTTGAGGTGTCGAATTTTGTGGGGGCAGCAGATACCGCGCACTGCCACTCGGGCGTAGAAACGGCCCCGAGAAAAGGGGGTCGCCCAGGATCGAAGGTCCAGAGGCGTCTTATTGAGAGCGAAAAGGGATGAGGTCCCGAGGGGGACATCGGCATTGGGGTCTGTCCAGTCAGCTTGCTGGAAAGGGACATGTGCAGGTCCCTCGGCGGATGGCTCAGTGAGCACCCTCCGGATGTGCCAAACAGTCGGTGGTTGGCGGTTCGGAGTCCCGTTTGCACTCTTATAGGGGCCTGCGTGCTTAGCAGCCCCCTTGCAGTCGACGAAGGCGATGTTCTGGGCGTGGGTTCTGGGACCTTGTACTTGAGTTACGAGGGACTCTCTGCACACGCTTCGGGTGGTTTCCACTTTGCGAGGGACGGGCGAGTCGTGCTTTGGTGGTCGAGCGAACATTTTTGCGGCGCCGTTCGGGTCCATGGTCGTCTCTCTCGGAGTGCTTATTTGACGACAGCTTGGTCGTCGTTGGCGGCGGTTGCGGCTGTCGGGGCTTTCCTATGCCGTGGTGCCGGGTTGTGAATCGTTGCGTTCACCCTCGCTCATTGTCTTGCGATGATTGGCGCCTGATTGCCGACGGCGGTCCGGTTGGCGGTCGTTTGCAGGGTGTGGAGGGGGAGGTGCCCGTCACCGGCTCTCAGCCTTGGCACCATCATCCCGTAGGTTACGGGGAGAGCTGTTGCGGCTCTATTGTGGTGTCGTCTTCGTGTCCGCACTCACAACGGCGCGTTCCGTTTGTGTTGAGGGGGTGTCACGACTTGGTGAGGACGCTCTGCGCTCTTCGCTATCCAAGCGGCGCCATTGAGCGGTGGCGCAGGTGGCCTCGGCCATGCACGCGCTGCTAACCGTATGCGAGGGCGGGGACTTGTGGGATGCGTGATGGACCCTCCGACGGAGTTGCAAGGTTTGGCCCGTCATCCGCCCGACTTTTTGGAAAGCGCGCTTGTGCCCGTCGTGTCCCCTATCCTATGGTCTCGGTATGCTGCACACCGTGACGGATCGCGTTGCGTCGTGGTTCCGCTGCGTTTAGGTTGTGGGCTTCGAAGGCTACTGTCCTCTGTCTCCTGGGTCTCGCCTGCATCGAGTGCTGTTGGTGGTGCCCGCGGCAACCGGCGGATGTGGATCCAGGGGGGAGAGGGGTTGTGTTCCTTTTGCGCCCCTGTGCAGAGGTGGAGGCTTTCCGTCCGTCCGGGCGTGTTTGAAGCGTGGTGCATTCGTTTCTCTCTTCACCCACGTTTCTCGATGGAGAGATGAGGCTGTGCACTTTGCTGTCGGTACGTTTTGGGCAGGCGGTGGCATCCGGCTGTGGGCCGAAGCTGTCGGTGGTTCCTTCGCGCGCGCCGTTGTTCGGGTAGTGTGGTTAACTTACGATCTCTGGGTGTGGTGTGGGCGGGTGCTGTTCGCAGCCAATCTCTTGGCCGAGTGCGGCACGCTGTGTTGGATTGTGCGGTACGTTGTTGTTGGAGATGGCCTACGGAGGGAAGTTCACCTGCAATTCAAACAGTCGGACTTCGCGGCGTCTCGGCAGCTCATTGCACGTTCCACGATTGTTCGACGCTCTTTTGGTAGGCTGTTCGGCGTGACGTGCCTATGTACACCTCGGCCATCGCTCCTTGCGGCTGCTCGTCACACCCGCTACCTGGTTGACCCTGCCAGTAGTCATATGCTTGTCTCAAAGACTAAGCCATGCACGTCTRAGTGTGAACACTTTGCACTGTGAAACTGTGAATGGCGGTAGAATTTTTTGGGCCTGGTACTGGATCAAGGGCCGGGTGGATAGGGGGGGAGGGGTGGAGTAATGGATCTGGTCATTGATAGCGGCGCGATTCAGCTGGTTGTTTGTCGGTAATTCCGATGGTCTAAACTGAAACTGAGCGAATTGTCACCGACGGCGGAGGAGCTGACCGAAAGACACGGGAGGACGGCAGACAGGAGACGACGGTGGAAGAAATGATAATGGGAGAATGGCGATGGGGGAAGACACGTGGGATTCGGCGCGTGGGGACTGGCTCGGGGATCTGCATGGGGGGGGGCGCTGTGATCACCCTCAATCGTAGGCAGACAGGAGACGACAGTGAGACAGGTGATCGTGGGAGTGTGAGGTTGGGGGAAGACACGTGGGACTCGGTGCGTGAGGATTGGCTGGAGGATCTGCATGGGGAGGGTGGAGAATACGGTGGTGGTGAGAGGTGATCGTGAGGACTAGTTGGAGGATCTGCATGGGGGGGGGCCGTGACCACCCTCATTCGTAGGCAGACAGGAGGCGACAGGGAGACACGTGATGGCGGGAGAATGACGATGGGGGACGACACATGGGACTTGGTGTGTGAGGTTTAGCTGGAGGATCTGCAAGGGGGGGGCGCCGAAACCATGGAGGGTTGAGGATATGGTAGTGGTGATAAGAGGGGAGTAACTATGGACAGGCCGAGAGAGGAGTGACAAGAAGGCGGAGGGATACGTAGGGGCACAGACGAAAATCTAAGATACGTCAAGACGACGGGGAGACATCAAGAAAGTAAGTGAATGGACACGTTGGAAAAAATTCTCGTATTGTTCGTCGCGATGACGGCATGGATTGTGGGAAGATATGAAGTTCAGTGGATCGCAGCAATAGCGCGGGCGATTCGTCTCATCCCGAATGGAGTAGACATCGTAGGCAGATTGGCAGTTCGGGGAGCGGCAAACGGAGGGCAGGCAGCGATAGTCGGGATTACGTGGTTGTTGGCAATAGGGGCTGGCGCAATAATCGTTCGGATAGGAACGACTCTCGGGACAGTGTGGAGAGACTTCTCGCTACGTACTGGTCACCATTGGATGACCTTGCTAACTGGAGGATTGATCACTGTCCTGGGAACACTTGGTCTCCGCCATCGCCAGGCGACGACACACACTAGATCCTCGTCTCGATGTGTACTGGGTCGACATCAAAGATCGGCACATCAACAACTTCCATTGGCGGACCGAGAAGGCGTGCCGATACATCGGACACAAGCACAGCAAGAAGATACGCGGACACGACCTCCACCGACGACCCCTGAAGAACCAATTACAACCGCCGCTCGTGATACCTCCATGCTATCACCTGGGACACACCCTCAGCAGGCGACTGGCCAAGGCCCGCAGACAGCCGGAGAGACGACTGGGCCCTCTGCACCACGAACGCGAAGTTGGGGATTGCCGGGGGGGGTATTCATGGACTCGAGTGGCGTAACAGACATGCACGCATCGACATCGGACGGCGCCTGCGCAGACGTGGATAGTGAAGAAGAGCAAAAACTTCGGCGCGGACATACAAGTCATCTTGCGCCTGGACAACTTACGTTAACATCGCCGCATCCGAGGGCGTGGAACGAGGAGGCGGTCAATTGACACTTCAAATGGCGGCGATGGGAGGGGGAGATCAGGGGGGACAACAACAGTCGGAATGGGCGAGATTCAAAGAGGTTCGCAAAGCCACGCTGACAGGGACCTTCATCAAAAGGAGAATGGCACGATGCAGAGCCGAAGGAACCACGATTTGCATGGAGATCGGCCCGGAGATGGCGAGGGTGCATGTTACATACCTGCGTGCACATATCGTCATCATAAGATTCGGCGGTACACTGAATGAGTTCTCCGCGGGAATGAAAACAGACCTCATTCGGCGATGGGAAGACACGTGGCCAAATATGGCGCGCGGCAGATTCCAAGGGAGAATCACGGTAGACAACAATGGGACAGCCACGTATTGGGCACCGACGGCGCTGCTGCGGAACTGGATGATAGATCGCCGAACAAAGGAGGAGGTGGTGATCGATGGCAAGACATGCAAGGCACGCTTCTCCGCCTGGGAAACACCGGTGGAGAAGGAATGGAACCACATGATGGAGAAGAAGAACCACCCGTGGGTCAAGTTTATCAATCCTTCGGCTTTGACAAGGCCATACTTACACGTGGCAGCGAACCAAGTATTCGGGGAGGTTATCAATGATGACGGAGAGCAGAATATCGATGAACATGGGAAGGAAGAGATTTGCTTTCAGCTGCGACCTCCGCTTAGACAAATCGGCCTTCAACGACTTGCTATCCGCCTCCATTGCTACGGCCGACCGGAAGTACGATATCCCACCAGTGAAACGCCCTGGTGTACATTATGCCGGAGGCCGGGCCATCTGGCCGGACATACGCGCTGCCTCTCCGCACATGAAACGGAAAGGGAACTAAGTAGAAGGTAGGTAAAGCTTAGAGATGATCCGGCGAGACCACATGATGTCGGGGAAGAGATCGATGCGTGGGTACGCTTTGAAAGGGAATATGACTATGTCGTTAGCATGGAACTGCTATTGGAAGGCAGCTTGGGTGACGTGGCAGGGGCATCTAATGCAAGATTCCTGTCGAGGATGCAGATACATGAAGGAGCATCCAAGGACGCATCACCCCGAATCTCGGAGCACGCATCGAGACACTCTTCGCCGACAAGACGGAGACAACATGATGGAGCGGCAACTGCGGCACACCATCAACAGCAAGACGACCGATCAAGGACTGGGGTTCGCAGAGATGAACCTCCACCACCGGAGAATGGGCAGGTAACAGGCAGAGGGGGAAGACAGGAAGTAAGACAGGAAGAGAAAGAACGGATGGAGATAACACGAGGAGAGATACAAGAAGTGCCAATACAAGGAGGGGAGGGGGACGATGGAAGCATGAACATGCAACAAGAAAGAATGGAACAAGCACAAGGAGGGGAGGGGGGGGACGGGGACGACGAAATGGACACTTCGTCCTCGCCGTTAGAACAGGATCAACCGCTGATGAGGCGAACATATGGAAGGAAGGAAGTGATCCCCCCTCTGGATCATATAATGGAGGACCATCAGACCTCAACAAAGATGGCGACAACGGGGGAACAACAACGAAACAGGGAGCAGCAGACGGATATCGTACTGGGATCATCACAAATGGAAGTTGAGGAGCCAGCTAGACTGGAAACATCGCAGGAGGAGGGTCCTCCAAGACAACGCGATACAAATAGGGAGGAGATGGCTATGGAGGATCCGTGATATTTCACAGCGATGGCTGCAGGAATGAGTGGGATTGCGAATCCGCATTCGACACAGCTGGAGGACACTCAACATCAACAACATGGCGACTCCCGACAGCAGACTTTCACGGGAACAGGTTAGGAGAAAGGAAAGATACAACTGCAAGAGGAGACGGGAATGCCAACACAGAGACGAATGGAAGGCGAACAAACCATGAGCCGTCATCGAGCCTGGACAACAACTACGGGTCGCCGACCGGATACGAACGCTTGCATGGTAACGCTTCCTTCAATGACATCCACTTTCACCCCCGCGATCGCCCACACGACTGCACAGAATGCATTTGATCCGACTGATATCCCACATCTGGACCGCTGCCATGGCTACTGTTTGGGATTGTCTGAAACAGTGCATCACCTCAGATCACTCCCGCAGAACATTAGGACAATCTGGACTTCCCAGGAGAATAACACGTGGTATGGACTCTGGCAGGCTGCACATCCACATGACAACCCATAGCAATTCCCCTCTCAATCGCCCCCATCTGCACCCCGATCATACCGCCCGGGGGTGGGGTGGGAAACACAACACCATTGTTTGACTCCGCTTCTCTCGATGATCATTACTCAATCCAACACAGATGCGACTCTGCACACACGGCCTGTCATCCCATCACAGACCCCGATCGCCATGACGACAACCACAACTACCTTTTCGCACACACACCCACCGAATGTTGCCACAACCCACTCAATGCCCCATCACGGACCGCCCACGATAAATACACAACACATCACAACCACAACCACAACATCACCAATCGTTACACAAACACACTCATCACCACCTTACACATCCTGTTTACTAAACCAAGAAATCACCACGGTGGACGAGATATCCACACTGGTGGTGGCACTGCCAGCCGCTCAACCATCACAACAGGAAGGACTTCAGCGCTGCACAGGGGAGGTTGCTAAGTCATCAGACAAAAGTATGGCGACAATAGTCTCCAACACCACACAATCTACTTCGCACAACACTCATAAACGACCCAGATCACGGAAGAAAGGTAGGAAAGACCGACAACCACGACGATATCAAGAGGCTCAGAGCCGAGATCGCCTGCACGGAATCATCATTTCCTCTGAAGAGGAACGGTTGCCGTCACCGAAAAGAAGTAGACCACCGATAAGTTTGGGGTTACTCACTGTCCCCAGTTGGCACACTCATCCCTCCCCGATCCCAGTAACAATACACTCAGGAGGCCCACCTACTCCGACAACCGCGATTCTCGCCACACCGTCACATCCATCACAACCACCGCTCGCACACCAAACACCGCCGCTGCAATCACCACCACAGGCAACTTCCACCCCACAACATGCACAAACGAGCCGCATACGTGTTCCTTCCTGCCCCATCGTCAGGTAGGGCGGAACTCCAACCAGTGCCCCCCCTCTTGCTGATGGCTACTTTCTCATTTTAATACCCATCCTTTATTTTTCCCATCTTCCCCTGGCGCCTTTCCTTACGCTAATCCCTCAGGCCTTCCCTGTTCGTCTGGTTCCTCGAACAAGTCAACCACCCCGGCAAGGTAATTTTCTCCCATCTCTATTTCCCTGATGATTATTGGCTCGTATTCCTCAAACGACAACCGGGGCAATCCGAATATCAAGATTTCGATGAGTTCAAGCGATTCCCAGGCCTGATTTCCCCAGAACGGCCCATGCTTGACCGACACGTCGTAAGACATTCCCGTCGTTTGTGGACGGAAGTGGTGGATCCAAACCAGGGTCGAATCCAACAGGTCCCTAGCTCTCTTGAGGCTAACGAATACCAAGTCCACCATGAAACGAGGTACTCGACACCTCAACCCGGTCATTGGGGACTTAAATTCTCACCATCCTCCGACCTCCACCCGAGTTCTTAATCCCATGTTTCTTCTCCCCCCCACTTCCTGGCCCACCCTGTTCAACATCCTAGTAGCCCTCTGGAAGATTGGTAGCAACCCGTGACCTAGTGCCAATTCCGTTCCTAGCATGTACCACCTAAGTTCCGACAAGTATATGGTCCCCGTCACCCTAAGATCGGTGTACAGATCGTCTCCCGGTCCCCTGTTAATCCTCATACCATCCCACAAGCATTCCACCATCATGAACGCTTGACCTCTTCCCAGGGTCACGACCCTCCATTCGATGTCCAGTCCTTGGATCATGTAGCTTGATGGGAGCGATACCTCCCATCCGCCTCCACTTTCCGTGGGTGGCCGCGGGTGTGTGGACCGTTGCAACATCTGGGCGCGTCTCATCGCCATTTTTGACTTAGTAGTCCCCTGCACAGTTTAAACAGCAAGCGGTTTTACTTATTTCATTTAATTTTCAGCTCCCGCCCGAACACTCCCCGGTCTCTAGCTTGAACCTTCCTTTTCTTTCCTTGACCTCTTTTATTGGCCCGTCCCTACGTCCGTCGGCTCATACAATCGGTACAGATCATCCACGTACACCATCCCTTGACTTATTTCCCGTCGGACGACACCCCACAGGACCTCACTTCCCACAACCGGAGCCCTCGGCCTGGTGCTAAACACAGCACGCAGGATGCGCAGCACCTCATACTTCTGCTCTCCATTGAACAGGCCCATTTCTAGGAAGGACCGATAGTATTCTCGATGTACCATCGCATCTTCATATGTCAGGCTAGCAAGGTCGGTCACCGCTTGTCTAACAAGTCCCGGACCACCTAGCCTTTCCAGCAGGAAGGGTGGCAGCCTCATTCGTACATTTTCACTAGGCAATTCAAAACTCCCGATCATGGCTACCCTAAGGTCCGCTGTTACATCGTCAACCCCCGGATCTGCGAACTCAGATCCCGCTCGCCACACTAACTGCCACGCCCCTTCAAACATGCTCAATGGATCCTTCCCTAACTCCAACATGACTCCAAACTCCCGCCACCCATCCTCTGACATATACAACCGCCCTTCTGCACGCACATGCCCCCGCGGGTCCGGGTTCCATTCCCCACTCTCGTCCGTACGCCACTCAACTTTTGTTACTAAGTAAACCATGTTTTCTGCAAGTTCGACTCCGACCCAATCCGCCACCTGGTGCCAGCCTCCACTCGCCGTCAGCAAGCTAACCTCTATCCCGCCCGGTGCTTCCCTAGGCGGTTCAATGCCCAGGGGGTGTTCCTCAAGGAACGTCATTCTTCGTGCCATCACGCACTCGTCTTTGATCTCCTGGCTCACGATCCGCACTGAACCCTACAATGGCCAGACATCCCATTCCCTTATCTTAGCATTTTTTCCCATATTTGCCTGACCCCACGGTTTTTCCTACGCTTAGTCGAACCATAGTACCCCGAACAGTTTGAACACATCGTCCACATAACAGGGTGTCGCTGCCACCTCACGGCGGATTACGGCCTCCCTAGTTTTTGGGGCCACCTCCTGTCGGTCATTCCTTTCAATCTCTAAAATGATAAGAACCTCCCGGGCTCTATTGCCGTGGAAGGGCCCGAATTTCAAGGACATCCTATAGAATTCCTCTGCCAGCCATGCGCAGTTCACGTGTATTCATTCCATCGTGTCGGCTACCTCTGTTACGTGATCAAAACCCCCAAACCAGTTCGCCACGAACTCGGGCACCCAGATCTTGGCTCAGGTGCCAGGTGGTTTAAAATCCTTCCATCCTCCCATCACGACTCTACTGCTGACCGTATCCCAACCTTCGTTAGCAAACCTTTCCCCCGCCTGCCGAACCCTTGCCTTAGCGTCCCCTAAAAGCCACATCGGGTCCTGTCCTGCCACGAGCGTTGTGCAGAACAGGTGCCAACCTTATTCAGAGAGAACGATCGTCCCGACTGATTCCACCCTTCCTTCCGCAATCTCTTCCCATCCTTCCTCTTCCCTCAACGAGTTCCAGACACGCTCTATCCATAGGTACGATAGCTCCGACACAATCTCATACCCCGGCCAATCACATGTGGTCCCCTTCCATTCATTGCTTGGTGGTATTGACATCTCTACTCCCCTTCCGATTCGTCTTGGTTCCCATGTGCAATCCCATGGCTTGAGTTCCCGGACCATCGCTCCCTACCTGCACATAGTTGACAACCCGTTTTCCCCGGGTAAGTCCCTCCCTCAGAAGTCTCAGTCCTCTATCTCGTCCCCGTCCTCCTCATCAATGGAATCCTCCTCCTCGTCTAAGAACATCTCTTTCACCCCTTCCAATAAGGTTTCCCCCGCCGCCACGTTTCGGTAAACTATCTGCCAATGCACCGGACTAGGAACGAAGACTTCGTCCGCGCTGAGGAGGTTTAACACCTCAGCTAATTCTTCCGCCCAGTTTCCTTCAAACGGCCCTGCTTCCACCGATTATCTAAAGAAGTCTTGTCTAGCACCTTGGTAAAGCCACAGGTGTGTCATTGATTGGCATATACGTTCCAGTCTATCCCTTGTCCCAACGACTGCATCCACGAGAAACGGGGGTAGCACGCACCTCATTGTCCTAAGAGGACGTCTCATATTTTTCCGGTCTCCGAGTTCCACTCGCACCTCCATCCTTTCCATCTCCATTTCTGTCCGCTGATATGCTGCCCATACCACCTCCCGTTCCGCTTGCCTAAACAACTGATCCGGTGTCGTGCCCAATACTAGTCCCACTACCATTGCATTTTCCAATTCCTGTGATAGGTAGACCCATCCTCGAGCTTCCACTGTTCCCCGGAATTCTAGGTCCATCAAGCTAGGTGAAAGTCTCATCAGGCTGACCTTAGTCCAGATTGTCTTTATCCAGAGGAACGCGTCCTTCTCGTCCAGCATCATGGAGTAGAGAGGAGGCGACAATCATCGTGCCATCTTGTTTCCCGGCGCTTGTCCTATTTCCACATGAGAGCATCACACGGCCCCTCATGGTCAGATGGTTTTCTTTCCTTTTCTAGATGAGAGTTGTTTTCAAACCCCTCATCCGGGTCTCCCTAACTTTTCTTATCCATTTCCCAGGTGCCATTGCCCTACCATACCCCCAATCGATCACCAGTGGCTCGC